ATGTTTAAACATCACGTTCCATGTCAATTTTCCATTTTTTTTTTAAGTTACAATGGAAGCTGGAAATTTAGATTAAGCTATTTCACCATTTTAAATCCAAACAAAAATGAGTGGAAGGAAAGATAGCTTGGTGAGAAACTTTGTTTAAACTTTAGTTGAAGTACTGAGGTTGGGAATGGATGAAGAATTATTTTAAACAGTGATAAAAAGAAGTTTTCTCAGCAATGTTTGCATGAATGCTCTGAAATGTAAACTTCATGTGACCCAGTGTGTTTAAAACCCTCATACATTTGAATCTTCAACTGCAGTAAGTACTGATTGCTTTTGTGACTAGAATTGATTAGGCATTTGATTATGCCTGTCCTTGTAAATGCCAGGTATGGCCACAACAGCTCTAGAGTGCAAGTACTATTTTGTGGAGCATGCTAATGAATATACAGAGAACACAGTTGTCCACTTAAGTCCTCAGGCCTAAATTTGTAAGTTCTATAATGCATTGTCTTCAGAAATGTTGTTGGTCTATGGGAATACTTATATATTTTGTCTCTCTTCAGAGTTAAAGAAGCAGAGGAAGTCTGCAGGCAGAAAAAGGGGAAGTCACTATATAACATAAGACCAAAACATGATTCTGGAATTGTAAGTAAAAATTGTAGCAATGCTTCTGTTCCCATTACTTTTTCTACTGTTTGCTCTTCGCATTTTATAAGTATGTTATTCTTGATGTATGTTTTTGTTCTGGGTTGGGTTTTGGTTTGGGGTTTTGTTGTTATTGTTTTAATTTTAACATTTTGATTAAAGGAGTTAGATTAACAAACTTGACATCTGCTTGTGAATATTACTCCACAAAATAGATGCAGCACAAGCAAGATCAACATATTGTAGCCCTGCCCTGCCAATCTGTCTTCTTCCCAGTCTTGGTGGGATGCACCTAAAAGGCAGAAAGGCAATTCCAGTCCAAGCTCATTCAGTCTGTATTCTCTCTCTTTTCTACAGTTACAACATGTAAGGAAGAATTTTGATAGGTACACATTTTTCAAGCTGGATCACTGTATCAAATACTAGTGGCTTCTGTTCCATTGATAGGGATTTGTTTGGAATAGAAGCCCTAGAAAAAGATAATACTGTGCTTTCACCATTCATCTGAAAACAAATAACTTCAGTGATATGAGAGGAGTAATTCTGGTCATTCAAGGAAACCTTTCCTCTGTGATTGCCTAAGCGTTGCTAGGATCATGGCTGATTTTACTGAAAAGTAATATTCCTCTAGTGAAAAATTAATCTTGCACCTCACATTTAAATGATACCTGTGGCAATTGGCCATCATTTATATTTATAAAATATTAGAAGATTTTTTCATGTGTCTGTGTCCCTGTCCACACCCTTCCTTCCCACCATGAGACATGACTTAATTCTTTTGTGCTTTGCAGTCATGGCTATATTACTGTGATACATCTTGGAAATGAAGCATGTGGTAATATGCTGCATTCTAACTAATATAATCTGACACAGGAATAAATAATATTGCATTTATTGTTTCCTATTCTGAATGTTTAGTGAAAGTTGGCTGTGGTTAGTGCCACAAGAAATGTAAATGGAGTACTAGCTTGGTAAGGAATGATAAACTACATTTAATCAATTGGATTATAAAACAGATCAAGATGTTTTAAAAAAAAAAAACAAAAAAAAAACCCAAGAGTTAACATTATTTTGAATTTCTCCATCTAACTTATATCTTGCAGTATATAAAGACACTGATATTTTTCCTTTTAAGAAATAACTATTTGCTTAATTATTCCTGTATCATTATTTGCACTGAAACAGGGACTTTCAGTATTAGAAAAATTTGATGAGTGAAAAGGAAAGTAAACAAAAATATTTCACAAGAAGTGTATAGCTGTAGTCTACTTCAGTTCCTTCTTCAAAGGAAGTTTATTTGTGAAGCAGTTCTACAGTAACTATAATTGATCATTAGGATATATATTTCTATGCTTTACATAACATAAGTATGTGTGAGGTGGTTTTATGTACACTCAATTCCTCTTTTTTTTTTATTTATTTCATTTTTCAGAAAGCAAAGATAAGTATGAAAATCTGAGAGAAGAAAAGCAAAAGCCATGGTTACCTGGTTACCAAAACTCAACATGCTTGTGGGTGGGGAGTGAGAGGGAAGGAAACTACATCATCCTGATCATTTGCTTTCTTGACCTTTTTAAATTTGCTTTTTGTTCTCTAGAGTTTTCCACCAATTGATGTGTTATTGTACATTCATTCACGAATGTAATCACTTTAATGGAGTGCCCAGCAATAGACTAGGTATGGACTTGAAACACCTTCCCCTGTACTCTGTATCTCCTTTGCCACTCAAAAATGATATTTTGTAAAGTGTATGGTATATTACAAATAGGCCAAGTCGGCATGCATAAAAAGCAGCATCTGCATCAGTTCTGAACATGCTGAAAATTGCATTAAGTTGAACTTCATAAGGATGCTACTTGGTACAGTAAAACATTTCCATTCCTACTGGCAACATCTAACACAAATACTTCATGGCACTGCACTTAGATTAGGGAAAGAAATGTTACTCCTAGTGAACTGTTTGTATCTGTTTCATGTTGGCATTTGTAGTTCGTATTTTGAATCGTTAAGTGCTGTTTATACAGTATAATCAATGCTTTCCCAACTTGTTTGGTTGCCCTCCATGACTAAATATTTGTGGAACAAGATGTTTACTGTAACTATCTTTAAAATCGATAAGGCAGCATACTTTTACTTCATCTTTTGCCAGATAGTGAATGCCAGGTGGTATGGGGGTCAGAAATCCAGCATTAAAAAAAAAAGAAAAAGGAAAAAAGAGGTGAAAACCAGAAAAATACAGAAAAGCACAGAAGTATGATAGAGAGTATGAGAGATTTGACTATTATAGTTTGTTAATATATAAAGCAGCTAATACTTTTACATGAGCTTTAGAAGGTATAGTATAGTTTTAACTGCTGATCACTTAAGTCAGACAGGCTTTTGGCCACATGTACATGACTTCCCTTCTGGAATTAGCTTTACAGTTAATTTAAAACTCCTTTAGTGAGCCATTAAAAGATGCACATGGGGACAACATTTATGGAAAACAGTAGCCAATTCTAGTGACTGAACACAAACTACCAACTAATTGACATCAATTTCACACTGAACAGAATTGCAGACATTTCCTCCAGGCTTTGTGTCCCTGACTAGGAGGTTAATGATTGAACTCTACGACTTAGGGCTTCCATTTTAGACCAAGCATTTAATTCCTATTTGCAATCCAGAGGTCACTGTATCAATTTTGATCTGCTCAACTGATAACAACCCCTTCCCTCCAGTCCTAATTTAAGAGCCCCAAACCGATCAGTCTGATTGATAAAGTTTTTCTTCCGAAGCGCATTTTTCCTAAAAGTAGACTCTGTGTGCAACTCAATTGGATGCACATGCTCACAGCTTTGGAACCTGAAAGACACTGGGGTAAGGCAAATGAGCTCTAACCTGCTGGGTTGCGTTATTCCCTGTCTAATCTAGCATGTCAAGAGACATTCCTAGCTGTTCAGAGGCTACTATATCCTACAGGGTGTCATAAAAGGAAGTGCGAAATATGACCTCAGGAATCTGTTATTCTTCACATATACCAAGCACTAGAAAAGATGGTTTTTTTCACTGTGTGAAAAGCAAGTCTCCTGTTGCTGACAAACCTATGTGAAATTCTGTACTACTGATAATTTCTGGCAGGGATATTAATTACCAAGAACGGAGTTCTAAAATTTTGTTTTGATGGGAGTAACATTACTATTTGGGGAAGAGAAAATAAGAGATTATTTGCTGTTATGACTAACTTATGGAAAAAGAAACTTTAAAAAATAAAGCTATTTTAATGGCACTGATTCAAATCCATGTTTGTATTTATGTAAACAATAGTCTATTTCCTCCTAACTTTGCTCCTAAGTGCAAGGATACAGTAGCATGTTTTCATTTGTAGCCTTCCTGTTCTCTTCAGTACCTACAGTATGTATATTACTATACTAAATTAAATAACAGATCGTCTAACAAAGATCACTATGTGCAATACTGTATTTAGTGTTTCTATTCCAATTTTTTTAGAATGTTAATTTATATGAAAATAAAAGGAATAATAATGAAATAAGTGCCTTCTCTCTTCACTCCCCAGCTGTGCTGTAGTTTGCTACAAACCATTTGCTCCCTAAGTACCACATCCCATTCAGGCTCCTGTGATCAAGGAAACACTTTTGTGAAGGGATCAGAGGAAATGGGGCTTCTCTTTCCTTGTCTTTTGGAAGGATAGTGACAGTAATTCCCAGTTATGTGGATATATTACCTTTTCCCCAGGTGGTGGTAGTGAGAGCTTCAGTCCTTTACTCAATCAGACTATACATCACTCACTTCTCTGGCTTATGCATGCCGTCCAGTAGTGCATTTGGCTCAGGTTTGTAACCTGCTCCTAGTAACACTGCCGAAGTAAGTCTTAAGAAATTTTTATTAGGGCAAAAATGTGCATTGAAAAGTTATACCCACATATTATAATGCCTTTTTATATATGTGTGTTATCCAGCGACCTGGTAGGATGGTCACATACATACATACATACACTTTTCACTGGATCTCCAGCACAGATGTTAGAAGATATTTGCAAACCTCGATCTCTGAAGAACAGTGTCAAAGGCTGACTGTAGCTCATAGGACCATGTTATGATCCTAAAACATGTGCTGCTACACAGATTTTTCTCTTTCATTTTACTCAGGCCCAATCTATTTGGTTGAATTTCTTTCTCTTTTATATAGCTTCTCTCCAGCCTATTCAAACTTCCATGCAAAATAGCCCACTATGTTCAGCACCACAATTGACCCACAGAACATCCAAAGCACACCACCAGCATAAGTTTCACTTCCACTCTTTGTTTTTTAGTGGCACACTCAACTTCTTACAGAATTCTGGACTAATATTCTTTTGTTTGCCTGTTTGAGTGTGTTCTAAAGATGTCGGATACCCCATGTTTACTGCAATCTCACCATTTACTGCAGCATTAATCACACTACACTTTGAGTTGGCTGTAATCCAGCAAGAGTTCTCACAGACAAAATTCTGAGCTTTTGTTGATCACCAACACCACATATTGTTCACTGTTACTTAAACAAATGCAGCAGCAAAAGAGGGACTTACATACCTGAGCAGCAGGTGTGACTTGCTGACAATAACAATCTGATTTTTTATGAGGAGCTAAGAGGATTCATGTTGTTTTGCTTGCAAATTAAAGCCTTTCAGAAGCATGATACTTTGTCACATCATGACACAGTAGTGGTTAGCTTTTTTTGTAACACCTTTCATCATCCCAAAACACTTCGAAAACTTAGTTAAGTATTATCCAACGGTGGCAGCAGGAATACAATTAGAGGCATCTTCCACAGACTGACGTTTTTTTCTCGCCCAATTTTTCAGTGATCAGCTTAAAAAGGTGGAAGCAATTATTAATTTCATTGAGAGAAGATATAGCAAGTCTTTGCATTTTTTTGCAGACTCTAGGTTAAAAGGAAAGCTGAGTTTGTGACAAATCTGTTAGTTACTTGAGTTACACCGATTTTAAACTGCTATGGGAAGAGTAAGCAAAAACTGATGAAGTTGAGTTTTTCCGAAGATGGTGCAAAGAGGTCAGCAAAGGGAGGAGAGAGAAAACTGTGACCCACACCATTCAGGTCTGCCACCTACTAATATGATTCTCATTACAGAACAGGTTTTCCAAGTCTTTCTCTTGCTTATGACAGACCCATCTGTGCTGTACCTGTGCCTGACACTCATTCAACTGACTTGTAAAAACATCCAATGGTAAGTCCATTTCCTAAAAAAATTAATGTATTTCTGAATATAAAGGGTCCCTATTGAGTCAACACTGTTTTCTCTGCTTCCCAACCACAGCTCAAATTTAAGCTCTTAAAAACGTCGTTTGCCACTCGCCCTAAATTGGGGCCCTGCCAGCATGACAGTTCCATGGTGGTAGAGCTAAACATTCACTGTCCTCCTCCTTCTCCTGTCCTGTAGCAGCACTCCACTTCAAAAAACTCCACTGACCTAAGGCTTTTTTCATCTACTCAGAGAGATTTGCTTTGCTCTTGAGATTGCTTCCACAAGGGGGAGATTTTTGGATGACAACATATGTCTCTGGTATGATGGTTCAACAGTCAGGCAGCAAGAATTTTAAAAAACTGGAGCTGGAGTCTAGGCTGTGCCTCAGACAGTAGAGGTTGAGGTGGATGCTGGGCAGTGAAGCGACCTGCAAAGCAGGAGACTGGCCAAGAGACAGCTGGAAATGAGAAAGGGGCATTAGATGAGATTACTACTGAGCTCCCTTTAAGCCAACTGAGAGAGGCACTTTCAAGTTCTGAGCAGGGCACCCTGACCACACTTTAGTAGCTAACACAAAGCAAACCACTAATTTCTCAAAAGCAACAGCTACGAAAAAAAAAAAAGACTCCAAACACATTGATTCACTTAACTGTGAGAGGATTTGGGCAAGAGATGGGCAAGGAAAAAGATCAAAGGGCTTCTGCAGGTGTCAGAAGTGCCATAAAGGACATAGCCCTCCCTTGCTAGTTATGGTCTAGGTGCTCTTGCTTCTTTCAAGACCCATGACAGGCATCTCTTCTGGTCATGTGGAGGTTCATCCATCCATGTGACTACTCCCTTTCATTACAAAAATTTTCCTTTGAGAAACTACATTTTCTCTCGGTTGGAAATGAAAAAAACCCAAAACACTACTCTGTCTTTGGAGTGACATACAGTGTACCTATTCAAGAGCTGACAGCAACCATTAAAGCTCACCTATATCTTAAGGTATACCCTTTTTTTTTCCTTATGAGTAGTTTGGTGCCTGTTATGTAAGGATCTATATATATTTTAAGCAAAACCACTTAGGTCAGGGTAACAGTTATTTCTCTTACCACAAATGATGCTGGTGTTTCAGCCAGTGGTGGAGCTTTGCTTGTCTAGTCATTTAACCAAAAAAACCAGAATTTGTGCATGCAGAATCAACTCCAGAATCTAAGACTAGTGCATTTCATTTTTCCTTCTTGTCTTGCAGGTACTTTTGAGGGGGGTACCTATCTTGCAGGTACTTTTGTTAGGGACAAGAGGAGAAGTAGTTAGGTTTTCCCAAGCTATCAGGGTGAGCCATCATTCACCTGTATTTGGGAGGGTGAAAAGGAAGATGGAGCATATACTGATTAGAGAGCAGCTGGACACAAGCTGTTGAAACAAAACACCTGGATGCCATATAACCCTAGAGTAGCTTTATTATTTAATCTATAATTTAATAGTTGACCTATAAAATAATTACATTATACTTAAAGCATTTCTTCATTTTCTGTTTTCATTTATAAAACAAGAATTAAATACAGTTTTAACCATTACAAGCTCAACTCAGTTTTTACATAAACACAGCTCCTAGAAGGAGCTTTAAGCTGCAGCATATTCATATTGCAAACTGGTGAAAAACCCAGGCAGGGCATAGCTTAAAGGTAAAGATTCTTGCATGTTTTTCTTAACCGAATGTACTAGGGTGCTTTTCTCTCTCTAGTCCAAAATGTCTGACTTTCAGTTCGTTCCTTTCAAGTGGAGACTGGGATCCCTGGAGTCTTAGTAGACCATATTGCCACCTTCCCCCTCCGCACCTCACCCACACCAGCTCTCTCAAGCCTAGACTGAATGGTGCCCATCCAGAGGCTGGCAGGATGCCACAGCATAGCAGTTACAACCCCTAAAGCATTCCCTGTGTGAGGAGTCTCCCTGTGCACTTCTGACACTTTGAGAGATCACAGCAGAAAAGCAACGTCTGTTCATGTAACAGGGCTAATAGACCCGACCAATCTCATCCTGCCCATGCCAGTCCCTGTAAACCGCTTGGTGAGCTCTTGCGGAGATCAACCCTGAAAGCCTCTTAGAGAGGCCTGTCACATAATGGAGACCTGTGGCTCTGAAGCTCTAGCTGGCGACAGTGCTGAACATATTAACCCCTTGAAGCGGCTGCATGCAAAGAAGCTGGCGGGGAGGGGCTCCCACAGCAGGCTGGTTTCACTAGATGCAGATGCTGAACTGTGAGACATGCATCAGGGAGTCGGCGTGTCCTTTTTAATTTGTAAGCTTCAGACAACTGAGAGCGCATGGGCTTTGGTTTGGGGGAAGGGGCCGGTTTGAGACAGGATTTTAATGCAGCTGGGACTAATACAGATCAGAACTGCAACAAATGGGATATACAGGACATAATAAACTCCATCAACTAAATAACAACATAGTATGATTTAAAATGAACTGCAAGCATTCACCAACACTGATTGTGCAGGTCTCAAAAACTTAGTGCACCACCAGTAATGCAGCAATCACAACCTCCTCTATCCCTGCTCCCACAGCTGTGACCCATTCCAGTGGCACTGACGGATGGGTTTGTCCTTTAATGCTAACACATTATCATGGTTTACAATCATGAGAGAGACGCCACTCCCAAACTCGGTAACACTTACATAGCTTTTGTATTCAATTCAGCAATGACCAAATTTTGTCCTTTGTGTGACAGTGCTTTTATACCTTAAGGGAAACATCACTCCCTTAAGTGTTCTCAGCTCCTTTCTCACTACCCTCCCACCTTCCCCAGTCTGTGCAGGCATAAATATAACGTTATAGATGGATGTTGTCCTTTTTGGAGTAAGAAACTCACACACATATCTAACATACAAAACCCTACAGAAAGCCTAGTAAAACCATGTTCATTTTAAGCCAGGCAGCTGACCTAGCAACCGAGTCTCTTAACATATTTTAATCTCTGGCATATTCTGCCACAAGGAAAATATACATGGCTAGGTCTATAATACTTTAAACAGCTGTTTACTATAGCTAGGTTACAAAATAAACACTGCTGCAGAGACCATGTTCAATATACTCTAACCACAACAGCATCAGAACCCACCCTCAGTCTGCTCTGTGGTCACTGTGGCTGACCCAGTGCCTCGCCCTCTTCTCCTTGCTTCTGATCTGCTGTTCAGACAACAAGCCCAGAACCATTTGTCATTGCACAATTGAAGTCATCTTAAGAAGCTGAGTTTCATTGGAGTCTTACTTGCTTTTCACAAATTGCTCCTTGTTACTCTCCCTCACCTGTGTCCCCCAGTCCTGGGCAGAACCCCAGCACTTCCAGGTGAGAGAAACAAGCTCCAGACCAAAGCACAGACAAGGTGTTCTCAACATGTGGAGGGAACTGGAGTGTAGGGCAGAGGGCTTTACTCCACACAGTGGAAACATTTAATGCTGGATTCAGCCAACTGGTCGCTTAGATCATCAATCCCAACTTCTGGAAGCCTGCTCCATGCCAGAAGATTCAACTGCCAGACGATATTAAAAATACAATGAAACTTTATGGTGAAGTGCCTCACACAGCCCATTAAAAAGCATTATTCCAGTAGGCAAGTGTCAAGGAGCCTTTCCTTGCTGGAGAGATGCCTCCTGAAAGAAAACAGAACACAAAAAAAAAAAAAAGGAAAAGAAGAAACAAACCAACAAAATGGACAGTCTGCTCAGTGGGAGAGGAGAGACAGCAGTAAATCTGATAGAGGCAACAACAAGCAGCAGCTATATGCCTGCTCTCACAGTTTGCCTGAGTTCAGATTCACAGACATGCACCGGCACTGCTTGACCTTCTGAATTTTCTTGAGTCGGAATGGTGGGTCCAGCTCGGGGCACTCCAGCTGCACAGTCGAAGAGGTGACCTTGTGTGGCTTGCAGAAAGCACAGGACTGAAAGGACTCCTCCTCCTTTTTCACGTGTCGTGGGATGTAGAAGGAGTTGCACTGCCCATAGCAGAAGCGGTTGATGATGGTGCGGCTGATGCAGCCCTCCTCGCTGACAGTCTGCCGCAGGGGCTGTGTCTTGCACCAGTCACTCTTGAGGTACTTCCTCTCGGTGACCACCAAGGCCTCCTGGCTGGAGGCCAACACCTCCTTGTTCAGCTGATGCCTACGCTCTGAGTGGTTGCTGCTGCTGCCTTTGTATGGAGAGGGAATGGCACCTGCAGGACGGTTTTTCCTGGTGTCTGTTACTTGAACCAGCGTTGCCATCAGAAAAACGGACAAGGCAAATTTCCAAATCATCCTGCAATGGCAGCAGAAGTCACTGTTAGAGAGACACATTTTCAAACAACAGAATTGTAATGTAGTTTAACTTTACCTATGCCTTTAGAAGAAGTGGAGATCTTATTGCCTTTGTAATCTCATCACTTTTCCTAGGAGATTAGCACTATTCTAGGGTGATTACTTACCATGAAGAGGCCAGGCCCTTTGGAAAGTCACATTGCTCCCTCTCACCCCCCACAAATTCTCCAGCTACTCGCTTTTTCCCCACAGGGACACTGCTGCTTTGATGGCTGAACTGGTGGTTTTCCAGAAGCTTCAGCCAGAAAGGTTTCCTCCTTCTCTGTGAAATCCTGGCCCAAATAATTAGGCAAACTCCTGGCTAGCAAAGGCTCGGGAGGCTCCTGACAATATGGTAATAGCTGGTTTGGGGATGGCAGAGGAGAGGGGAAGGGAATACCAGGTTACATAAAGTGAACTCCCATCATCTGCCTCTTCAGCCCCCGAGACCCAGCCCAACCTCCTTCCACACAGAAGTAGCACAGGGTGTCCAAAAGACTATTTTTATTATTCTAAGTTGCTTCTGAAGTTTCTTGGGGCTTTTATGGCACTTACAGGCTTGTATTTGTTGTCTTTGTGGGAGGCCAAAAACTTGATGGATTTATTTTTGCAGTAAGAGGAAATGCTTAAACACAATTTCGAGGACTTCACAACTGCAACGCCTCTTGGGCAAATGGTTTAAGAAGGTCTGTAAACACGAGAGGATTCAATATTTATTTTAGATGTTAAGGAATAGGGTAGAGCATGATCTGGTTTCTAAGTTGAAATAGTCAGCCAGTTGGCAAAAATATTTTTTCCGGTGGTTTTCTATTAGGTATTCTTGTTCTGTGGAGCATCTCTTACCAGCTCTTGTCCAATTCATTTTAGTAATGTGTCTCAAAGCACTTCTAGAATATCACAGTAATGTACTAAATCTCCTCATGAAGTCAATGCTCACCAGTGAACTGCTACAACTGATTTGACAGTTCATTTCATATCATTCTCCCTGGGAAAGAAGAACAGAGGGTCTCTACAGTGCCAGAACTGGGTGCAGCACAGAAGCTTCCTATTTAGAGGTAAGAACACTTTCTTTCTAAAAGTGCTCTGCTCCCCTTTGTTCTTAATGGATAATTTTTTAATAGCGTACAGATGAAACACTCATTCCTCTCTTCACAGTAAAGTTTCAAACCAAGTAATCATTTTATGTATTTTTAACTTTAAAAAGGTGCCAAGACAAAAAACTACCATCATACTGGTAAGTATAATGTCTAACACTATAGACACTTCACATGTTGCATAGGTACTCCCGTCTGGAAAACGTGCCATTTTCCAAACAATGACACCAAAAGATAAAAAAAGTGTTTGTAGTAAAGGTGCAAAAGCAGACAATAGCGTTAACAAATGCTTCTCACCTAATAAAGCAGGCCTAATGTATTTAACTCCTGTGGAGATAAAGAGGAGGAACTACTGTAGCAGACTAGGTGAGATAACATCCCCTTAGGTTGTTTTCTAAGTCTATAAAATCCCAATGCCAGACTTGACTGTTTCTAAGGGGAGAATTTTGAAGTGCTGAAGGAAAGGAAAGTGCTAATCCTATAGCTGTGAACAGAGGATGTTCCAATGCAGAGTTAAATTTCATCAGATTGTGTGCTTGAAACAGAACCACCTTTAAATGGAAACCAGTATTTCTAAAATTCCAAAAAAGCTCATTCATCTGCAACCATGCCATCTGCCCACTGACACCCACTGTAGCCATGGGTACTTTAAATCAGTGGCCTATTTTCACACTGCTTAGCATTCAGCATGCAAGTCCAGAACTTTTGTCCAAAGTCTTTAAATGAAGCAAGACTAGACTTGGCTTTGCTGGCAAGAATTGTAGCCAAGTCCATTGGATGTCAACCCACACACGCAGGCCAAAACCTAATCAGGTAATTAGTTTCAGTTGAATTTAGTGTTCCATGCCTCCTTTCAAACTGTTCTCATGTTATTCTGCACTGATGGCTGCATTTCAGTAGTAGATAAAACAACTGATCCCCACTAGTTTGTGTTTTATATAGAAAAGAGAGGGAAAAAAAACAGAGTTACAAGCCTACATCTTCTAGAAAACAACAGAGACGAACTTTTCACAAGATGCCTTATGCCACATTTCTCAGGCATACTCTTCTACTCTTCTCTTGAAACACAAGGGATATTGCCTCTCCAGTCTCATTTGTCGGATCCTGGCATAGCACAGGTCCAGAAGCACATCAGAAGCAGAGATGTACCCTTTCCCCCATACCTTTCTCTTTTCTTGGCATGATTTTACAGGTTTTTTCCAACCTTTATGTTCTGTGAAGCCCTGTCTTACCACACCCACCCTTTCTTATCATAAAAGGCAAGTTGAAAGGACACATTTTCCTTTTGTGTCAAGGATGGGGGTCAAGTAGAAATCTTATGTAGGAATTCAGGAAAGCAGAGAACTTAAAATCTACAATACAGAGGAATATTATAGTAACTTTCTAATTACTGAAATGGTTTTATGTAGACATGGAGAGCCATGCAACAGAGTAAGTAGGATTTGCTCAGTAAGTCTATGTTTATAACTAATAAAGTATTATTAATCAAAGCCACTATTGTAAGGTTATAAACCAAATGCTGCAGTACATGTCAGCAAGTACTTCTACAGACAGGTAGGAACGCACCACTCATTTCTCTCATTGATCCTTATCAAACTTGAGCCTTAAAATATTTACATAATAGAATAATAATCTACCTTACACTAGCAGGTCAAATGTGCATTCTGTCAGATCGTGGAATTTCTAATCACAGGGTTGCCCTTTACTAGCCTGTAAATCACCCCTTTCTAAGCCCTGGCACACAAATCCTCTATTCAAGCAAGTAAGGGTGCAAACAAGGTCACCTAGTGCCAGCAACTTGCCAAGGACTCCATATATTTATGGTGCTCACATGCAAAAAGAAGAGAAACCTCAGTACTCCCAGAGAACCAGAACATTTTGGCAAACTCAATTTGAATGCAAAGCAACATGGTGAATGCTGTCTGTCTGCAGACAGAATGGGATGAGAAGAAACACAAAACGTACTGGAGAAGAATCTGGCTTTTGGCAAGAACGGGGCAGTTCTGCCCTACTTAGATGTAACAAAATGGAACAGCATGTGGCTGAGACGATGCAAGCAAGAACTGCCACAAGAGACCAATGCCTCTACAACTTGCACCAATGCCAGCCTGGGCCCCCCATTCCTGCTGCACTGGGGTTCCCATGGCAGAGCCAGTGGAGGCTCCTGTGTGACAGTTTTCAACTTCTACAAGCATTGCTGCCAGCTCCTGCCAGTTCCCCCACATGCCTTTTTTCTAGCACGTGAACTGAGAATAACTTAACCTTACATGACATACTCAACAAGGCCTGACTGCACTTACATTTCACATGGCAAGGTTTCTTCTCCTTGAGATAAGGAAATCAGCATCAAGTATGAGTTCATAAATTCATCAAACCCAGCATGATGGAGCTGAGCTATCAGGTACACAGGAGTATAAAAAATCCTTCTTTTGACCAAGGAGGCAAGAATGCCAAGATCCAGCTCTGTCATTTGCAGAGGTCAGGGTACTGTAGCAGGAGGGGAAGACCCAGGATCACTGTATCTGCCCTTTGCTGTATTTCTTCTTTGTATGCAATTACTATGTAACATAAAATATCTACCAAGGCAGGCTCTCTCCTGCATATGACCTTCTGGCCCAATAGCTCATGCATTCTTGAAATTAATCCAGCTCCAGAGCAGGACAGACAGTAACGTAACCCCAAAAATAGCCTATAGTTTTTTGGTTAGGGAAGTTCTCTCTGAATTGGAGCATTAGATTTGATTTCAGAATTCAAGGGCATCTTTTTTGGAGAAGTCCCCCAATGCAGAAGTGGATGCTATGGTCTGAAAGACAGGGCAGAACTTAACAGCAGTGCCCATCTGTGCTGAGCGACTGCTCTGATGTTTCCTCTGGTTTTCAAAGTCATGACCAGTTTCTCAGCTCAAGATGCAGTTTCTGACTGGAAATTCTTGTTCTGTAGGTCAGCCTACTTCAGAGCTGCAGGTAGGCAGAAAGAAAGAGGGATGTAACTGGAAGATCGCTGTGATATTTTATGTTAGCTGCTCAGGAAATCAGTAGGTGTGAGACCCATTTGTTTGCTTTAGCATGCATACCTACGAAGTACTCAGCATTATCAGTATTCCTGGAAACATCCCAGTCTGTGATACAGGTATGACACAATCATTGCTTCACCAGGCCCTTCTGGAGGGAATTCAGAAAAATACTCACAGCCAATTTTTAATTATTTTTTTTTAAAGCCCAAAAACCTGCAAAACCTGTCTCGTCATGGAACTTGAGAGTCTACCTATACAGCTTAGTCACAGTATGGATTCATGAGGAAGAAAATTTAGTACTACAAATCTATCCTACACGTATCAAAAGTATCATAAAAGCCCATGACTGGGAAGATGATAAACAAGTTCAGAGATTCTTTACTTTTTGAAAATTTTGAATTTAGTTAATGGCTGAAGAGTTTCCCTTGGAAAAGTGATTCTCTTAAACTACCAGCAAAAGGCAAGCATTACAGACTAGATTAAATCAGGTCCATTTCCACAGTATGATACACAGATGGCCACATCTGACCACCTGTATCACTCTTTCCCAGGTTTCATCTTGCAAACTTCAGAGACACAAGAGATCTCCTTAGGGATCAGCTGAGTGTGGCTGAGTGTCGGAATCCCTCTTACCAAAAATTTTTCTAGTCCCAACCTATTTTCATATTTGACCTACTCAGATAAAGAATCTGTATAAATCAGTCATATGTATATAAATGTAAGAACATGTTGTACATGGTTAGTTCTCACATTTAAGATGAGACACAAGAAGTGTTCCTTGAAGACAAGCCAGGCAATGGCTTTTCAAAGAACTAAAACTTGGCTTTAGCAACAGATGTGGGAAGCCAGGAAAT